CCTGCTCGGGGAGGGAGGCTGGCCTGCAGCCCGTTCCGCCCCCTGCAGCAAGCTCGTCAGCCTCGCCTTCCTTTTACCGCCTCGGGGAATTTTGAGTGAGCACGTTTGGTTTAGTTTGGGGGATTTTTGTTTTCGCTCCATCGTCTCGTCTCCAAAATGCTGGGGAGCATTTTGTTCCTATAATTGGAACGGGAGGGCAAAAGCAATGAAAATAGTAGTAGCACCACAGCAAGAATTTTGCACCCCTTTCAGATCCTTGGGGGAGGGGAAAAAGGATTTAATGTGACTCACTCTGACACAGATGAGTGTGTGACATCCCAATCCAGGACCCACCTTGTATTTCAGATGAGAAAAGCTTTCTGCATGTATATGCCGCTACACGACAGGAAGAAAAGGAAATACAAACTATAGTCCTGTATTAGCAAGAATAGCTCTATTATCACTGTACATATTTGTGTGTATGTATATATTTTTGCCACATATAGTATACATTCAGGTCTCCCAGATTGAAGAGGGTTCTATAAAAATAGGCTTGTCTTTCCTGTAGAATTTCCATCACCAGAACCACATGAATTTGTTAACCGCCATACGTTAAGAAAATGCACAGCTCCATTTATATTCAACTGCAAAGTACTACCTATCCGAGATAGTGTCTTTCCAAAAAAATAGGAGAAGGGAAAATACAAGCGCAGCTTTTATCAGAGCGCGGGTGATGCCTTGGCTGTACATAGCTACCTAGCAACTCCGTCCCGGGGGAATTCATTCTGCAGCTGTGTGGAAGAAGGCAACGCAGCGCTTGGCCGTTCCAAGCCAAGAACTTGGGTGCCTTGGGATGAGACAGGAATATGGAAATATGTACCCTGCAGTTGCAGCAGTACGGAAATCAGCAGCAGCAGCAGCAAGAATGCTGATCTCGGCAGCGCTACTGAGCGTTCAGGGCGGGCACAATTTGGTCAAAAAAGAAAGTGTACGCAAGTTATGAAAAAAACACCTGTATCAAAATTAAAAAAAGCAAAAATACTAATCAAGTAACGCAGCATTCTTTAGGGCAGTCTCTGCAGTTATAATGAATTAAAAGTAAAAACTTTAATGAGCCCAGCTGATTTAAACAGTCCATGAAGCTTCCGTGTCATGTTTTCAGAACCAACGAAAGGACTTTCATACCAGTCTGGTCTTTCCAGTTGCAACAAAACATTTGTCCTGGCTTTCTGAACATTGAAGTGACTGGCAGGAAAGGGCGAATCAGAAGTATGTCAGGAACTGTCTTAACCAGTGACCCAAGGGTGGGCGGGGCAATTTGAACCATTAAAACATTACCTTTTTTGTAATTAGAAGAGATGAAAGAAGCTGGCAAGTATGGCCTAAAAAAAAAAAATACAGTTGAGTGCACCAAAAAACCCCCCAAAAAGTAATTCTCAGTTGGACTAGAGTAGTTTATTCTAGTTAGTAAGACCTAGAAGTGTTTTATGTTCTGGGAGACTAAAACACAACTATATCTTTTAATGAAAGTGGTGTTTACTTTTAAGCAAAGTCTAGCTACTTACTTAAGTTAGGAATCTGAGTAACTCTCGCATAATCTAGAACCTCTACTTGCAGGCATTAACAGATGTTGTATTTATACAGAGTTCTCACAGTGTTCAGCAGCTTCTGAAGCCTGCAGTGCAATTACTGTTAATAACGAGGCATGTAAGACTGTATGAACAACACAGACGGTACAACAGACCTACAAAGGCTAGGAAATACAGAATTGAGGCTGAAACTTGCAGTTAGGCACAACATATTCATGAAGTGTAAGATCACTTAATAGTTACAGACACCCATCACACAGTGTCTGGTCATAAAAGGAAGAGCTGATTGTGGTGCTGTCTTGGCTCTGGATTTCCTTACTTCTGTAGATGCAAATCAGACCTTCGGCACGAAATGAGAATTTATTGTGTTAACTTCTCTGGTTTTCCCATTCTCTGATACGGGGGGAAAAAAACAGCAGGGGAAAATAAATGCCTGACAGGATCCTAAGTTCCCACAGTGCAAATACTATCTATAGTAATAATAAGGGTTTGTGGAATAAAACATTAATAAGGATTTCCATTTTGTGTAATAGCTTTAACATACATTCACAACATACACTGTTACGCCTCCAGTGTAATCTGTGACTGCATTAAACACAACAGGACTGCATTAAAATATGTCTGAGTTATTTTTTGGACAACAGATACGCACGGTATCTCGACTAAAATTTTTTTTTTTTTCTGGTTGAAGAGATGCACCAGTTCAAATCTTAGACCAATGGCCTGAGTCTTTTTTTTTTTTAAATGCTATGTTAGAGATGCAATAATGCATCTAAAAAGTAGTAAGATTTTTTTATCTGCACATCTGTACTTTAAAATAACTACCTCCAAGGTCAACATTTTATATAATTATTTTCAATGTAAAGAAAGTGCTGTAAATAATGTAGACTCCTGAAAAATAGGAGTTTCTACAGGAAATACAGACAAACACAGACCTAGCCTCACTGGATGCTAGTAAACTACTGTACATTTTCTCTTGGGTTTAACAGAGCAAGTAAATCAAATCTAGAGCTTTTACCCCTACAGAGCGTTACCGGTAACGACAAGAACATGAATCATTTAAGTAATCATCACCCATACCAGCCACAGCATTTCACAACAGGATCTGCAGGCGTAGAGTTGGAAAAATCTCCGTTGCTTGCTTTAACAGATTCTTCTACAAAAATAAAAATTGAAGACATGGATCACGTTTAACATTTTATTCAAGGCAGTAAAAACAAAGTCTTCGCGTATCTATTATGCTGATGTCATAACACACTTGATACAGTATACCACGGTCAGCATATGCAAACTGACCTTGCAGCATGAAGGGTCCTGGCCCTATGAAGAAATCTGTATTTGGGGTGAAAGGTTTCTTCAATCAGTAGAACTTGTGTAAAGATTACATACACATGCTCACACATTTTGCAGAGTCCAAGTCCAAATATTACGGTAGAAGGCAAAGATATCACCGTGTTCAAAGCTTTTCACCCTGGTACGCATTTCAAGCTTTTCTCACCACAAAACACATTTTTAGGGAACTGAACACCTATCACAACAGTGAATATTTAACCTAAAATACAATTAAGTAACTGACATTCCACAGAATACTCTCCTAAAGAAGCCGGGGTAATACATCTACTCTTACTCATCACAATGCTTGTAGGTGTTTTTTGGAGTTGAACAATTATTTGAGCAACTTGACTGAACATGATCAAATACGCATTCATGCTAAAAGATTTCTTTCTTTGTGAAATGTTTTCCTGCTACAGAAGAAAACTGATCTTTGGCTCAGTGACTGTCATCTCACAGGTCACTTGTGTCTTTGTCGGAACTACAGTGGAAGATTATTTACCAATTCCATTTTTAATATACTGCCACCTGAGTGTCTTAAGTAACTTGTGACTGAACTGCACTTCTATCTTAACCCTCGGGAGCATTCTCGTTTCTTGGAAAAGAATTTTCCCATACCCAAGAACATCTTCCAGAATTCACGAGGGAGAATATATAAGCATGAATATAAAACGCAAAATACCCATGTTACCTAGTCAAGCGACCATACCACAAATTACGATCTTACCCTTTGAATAGAATTCAGTGGTAGACCAAAACATATCATAAACATCTGAAAGTCAGGTATAGTATCTGCATCATCTGTCTACATCAGTTGAGAAATAGCTGGGAAGCAACAGGTGAAAAACACCAGCTTATTTCACACCAGCTAAGGCTGTGCAGAAAAGGCTGTCGTTGTCAAAATTGGTAACTGAGAGGGTAAGTACGATGCTGAAGTTACTGAATTTAATATTACTACAAGTATGCCATTCTCCCTGTCCCAGATTTTTTTGGGTTGGTTGGGGTTTTTTGTGGTGTCGGGTTTTTTTTGGGGGGGAGGTTCCACCCCCAGAAGCCCAGCTTGAAATTCACCCATTCCAAAGAAGGCCTCTGTGAGCTGTTGACTCCACAATCACCCCTGACCCCATAAAACTCTTTCTGGAATACTGAATCAACCTACTAGCAAGAAAGCAGCTATGGAAAAAAACAAAAAAAAAGTACTTTCTTTTTTCCTACTAAGGCACACTCTCACGAGCCAAAATGTTCTATGAGTAGCATTCACTCACCTTCTTTTTCTTTCTTTTCCTGGTTTTCTTCTGCTGCAGTTTTATCTGCTCTGAAAAAAATTCTTGCACTACTTAGTGAGAAATAAAGGAGTTCAAATTCCTAAGGGAAAAGATACAGAAGAGGAGTGTCAGTTTATCACAAGAATGAATTTGTAGACAGATATAAGTGGGATTTTTTCAGAAGCATCTAAGGCAACTGTATTTCAATATCTAAATCACTTAAATGCTTTTGAAAATCTTCCTCCATTCATACCTTGTTGACATGCATTTTACAGAGCACATGTCAGCCAAAAACTTTAAAGGGCAATTTAGGCAAAGCAGCAGCAGTGCAACAAATCTGTCACTAATCCACTGAGGCTGAAAATGAGGTTTGTAGCAGCAGTGAGAATTTGCAGCAACTTGCCCATGGAAAATCATGCAAGCCAATAATTTGAATGGCCACAAGCTTGATCAGTTTCTGAACAAGGTTCAGTGATGTGGTTTTTTTTAACAACAGAGGACCAAAACACAGTGGACACTCGTGGGAGTCATGAGGACCTACAGGGCTTTATCTATTTCAACAACAGATGTGCTGTTACAGAATGTAATCATGGGCTATTCAAAAATAGGCAGCTACAGATTTGTCCCATAGCCTCTTCAAATCAAGAGCAGAGAGAGAGAGAGAGAGAAAGCATTTACACCACCGATGAAACCTGAACTGCTATGCTTCAAAATTCAAATGCATCTTTCCTCTATTTGACAGCTAGTGCATCATTCAACTTAGCAGCTCAGAATTAACACCCAAGCAACTCTGAGGGTACCCAGTGTTATCCAAAATCTTTGTTATAAGAAATTTAACCAAAAAGTTATTCTCTCCTATTTAAGCATTTAGGTTAATCCATGAGACAAAGACTTCCAATCATCCAGGTCAAGTTCCCGCCTCACTCAAATATCACAAACACAACACCCCCTTCAGATTGCACACCTCAAGTCTTCACACTCTTTTTGTACTGTTGCTGTAGACAATGCTCTGTTTTTTGCTCTTGATAAGCTCCATCAGAAAACACATACCTGAATTGTGATGGGTAAGTGCAGAACTCAATACAGAACAGATAACTGGACCCATGCTATACCTGTAAACAAACTTCCAGTCGCTTGTGGGTAAGGTTCATAGTTTGTAGTAGTTTTTCATCTTGATTAGTGGACTGCACATTCTGTTGCTTAGCTACTGCTCTTATTTCCTTCACATACTTCTCTCTAACAGACTGGAACCAGTGCAGAGAATCAAACTCCTGGTACTGATCCAAAAGCTTCAGAATGTAAGCCACACCTATAGTCATTAACAAACCATGTACCAAAGTCAACATGCAATTTGTAAAACGTTTTGTGAACGTCTTTAATGGATCAGTCTAATTCCCACACAAATAAAATTTAAATTGCAATTAATTTACAATTAAATCTAACAGGAAGAAAAAATTATAATAAAGAACAAGCTTCAATTGTTGAAAACCTCACAACTTATCCAAAGACTTGCATACCTTCTCATCTGCTGAGATCCGCAAGCTTTGAAAGAAATAGGGGAGCACCAAGATAGGACAAAACTGTCTGCTCCCATACTCAGCTATTCCATGCTTAGAAGATTCCGAACACACAGCCCTCAAAAATCCATTGTGCTGAAGCCAAGACAACCCAAATTTAAATTGTGGAATTTTTAATTATGGGAACACAAAAAATATAAACAAAACTTTTCTTGCAAATATCCATTTTGTTGGCTTACCCAAAGGCTAGTCAGTGTGCTGACACTTACCCATGGCAAACCCATCATCAGTGAAAGCTGCTCCACTTTTGTTCTTCTTATTCAATTTCTCCTTGCAACTGATTGAATGCTCTACAAAATTGAGGGTCTGAAAGAGTGAAAAGCTGTCTTGGAATCATCAAGAGAGACTCACAAATTTTAAAAGGTATTCACATACGTGCTGTTACCTATGAATATAATTCCACACCCAGAACTATGCTAATTGTGTCTCCCATCATTAGGCATTTCTGTATGAAAACTTGTCCTTTTTCTAGATTTTTGGGAAGTTAAGCTAAGCTAAGCTTTGGAAAATATTTGCAGATACGTAAGTAAAAAACCAAAAAGGTACATCTTCATCTTTTCACTGTTCTTGTCAGACTCTATTACTTCGCATTCTCTTGGCGATTACTAGGGGTAAACATGTAAACAAATAAAGGATAATTAAAATAGTCCAGGTTCCTGGAAAGCTTAAAGATACTAGTGTTTTAAAGCTACAGTATGTTATTTCATTCTATTTAGAAAATAGTAAAAAATATTTCCATAGTCTTACATTTACAATGATGTTGAACAATAGATCCAGGTAGTAATATTGAGCAATGGGTATGTGTTTGCAGGCAATAACTACTATTGAGACACAGAAATGTGTGTACTTTTAACAACTTTTCGAAAACCTATGACAGTTTCAAATTTAACTACACTGAAATGCCTTTTTAAAAACTAAAATGGGTGGTATATTCCTGAAACTGTATTTATCAGAAAAAATTCCACAAATGGGAAGGAAAAAGAACAAAAGTATTTGCCATGAGCCTTTACTTTCCCTTACTTCTATCACCATGACATACCTGTCCTCTCACAGTCTTAAGTTTATGGCTCATCGACGTTCCAAAATTAGTTTCTAAAATGGGATATTACACATTAATCTGTTTAGATCATTTATGCCTTCAAACAGAACTGCTTCCGAACACCCAGAATGCTGCACTCAAGTGTGCATCGCCTCAATTCAGTTGGACTCTTTCTAAACAAAGCTCATTAGCAAAAGCAGGTCCAATTGCAATAGGGAATGCCCCAGTTGTACTGCATTAGATCATGACATTAGAAGAACCTGAAGACAGCTAATGCCATGTGGAAAGAGCACACACATGAAAGAGCTGAAGAACACGGTTTTAAACTCCCTTCATCCTTGCTGTTCCAATTCCTCCTTTTTCATCTTGGCTTCTCCAAATTTGATTCAAACAGGACGAGAAGAAATTTTTCAAGTTACCTTTTGAGTGCTCGTACATGAATTGATGTAAATGAAGGAAAACATGGCTTTGGACAACAAAGCCAAGCTCAGAGCAATCCCACTTACAATCAGAGAAGGAAGTAGAATATGATAACCAACAGTCTAATACAAAATATTTAAACACAAACCTGATCTGATAAACTTTTTCAAATAAGTACTGGTACACACAATGCAAATACTAACCAGTGGGGGAACAATTATATAGAAGTTCCGCAAATGCATGTTCTTTGGACTGCGGAATTCAGGAGCAAATACATCCACAAGCATTTTGAAGTACTCCGTTCCTTCTGCAAAGTTACGCGTGAGGTCACTGAGGACAGAGTCCAGCTGCCTGCAAAGGATAAGAAACATGTTACCTGGTTTCTGCTACAAGGTTCCTTGCTTACCCACCTTTCAGGGTAACAACCTGCTCTTCACTCTTCGGCTGCACCTACAACCCAGTATTCGGACCAGTGTCCAAGATTACACCCTACCTCTACAGCCACCTTGAATCATGTTTCTTCATTTAATTTCCTCAAAAAAGGTTTATGAATACTTTCCTAAGGCCTGAACGTTCTAAAAGCAGATGTCAGACACGTGGTGAGGAAAGCTTGTTAGCCTTTAAACCACAAGGATTTTATCAAGAAACCAGGTTCTAACAGTCTATTAGTACAAATCACAGAATCACAGAATATCTCAAGTTGGAAGGGACCCATAAGGATCGAGTCCAACTCCCTGCTCCTCGCAAAACTACCTAAAACTAAACCATATGACTACGAGCATCATCCAGACACTCCTTGAACTCTGACAGGCTTGGTGCCGTGACCACTTCCCTGGGGAGCCTGTTAAGTGACTGACCATCTTCTCAGTGAAGAATCTTTTCCTAATGTTCAGTCTGAACTTCCTGAAATGCCGCTTCGCATTCAGCATTTAAAACAACTGCTTCTATTTTCTCTGCTTTTAAGAGCAGCAAATATTTTTGTGTAAAATCAGTTGAACTTTTAACACACACACACACACACACAAAAATGCAACTAACAGCTGCATTTACAACTTTAAAATTACAATTCTCTCATCCCATCCCTGCCCCAGACTTCAAAAGCATGATGTTAGGGTACCTTGCTGCTTTTTGTGTTTCTTCCGAGAGTCCTTCTTCTTTCACCAGCTCTTCAAAGTTAACGATATCTTCCAGATCAGGAACAAACCTGAAACAAACCTTGTTAATATTATGTACAACCGTCTATGTTCACTGAAGTATTGACCATAATTTATAATTTAGTTAATTTAGTCTTCTGGGCTTGAACTACTTAAAGTTATATCATACCATCTCCTCTCTCTAGCACCTGCTGCACTTGATAACTAAGTTTACTATTATTTCCAAGAAAACCAACTATTTCTTTGTATGTAAAAGTCACTATGTTTTAATGACCTTTATATAAACACTATCATCCATACAGAAAGAAGTTATGAAAGAAATGTTTTCTCCAAGTTCCTCAAGGCTTGTACTCTTTTTCCTTAATGCACCCTCTTGAAGTGATTAATATCAGAATTACTGACTTAAGGACCAATGACTTAAATGTACATTCTATTAACTCTTTTGCAGTGTTTTTCCATAGAATTTGTTTGATTTTTGCTGTTTTATGGCAGTGATTGTACAGTTCTGAATTCCAGCACTGTTTTTGATAATTCCACTTCAATGAAGGCATAAAAATGGACCTTTTTAATCAAAATTTATGGGGGATGGGTAAGAACCCAAGGAGCATCAGCATAAATAGGGAGCAAAGGAATGAGAAGGAGCAAACGTAGAAATGAAATATTTGTGGAAGTACCTAATTGCACTACTACAGCAGTGAAGTCCACCAGATCTTATCATTCGTACATAACCCATAGCATTGCCTTTAAAAAAAAAAAAACAAACAAGGAAGTAATTTATAATTATTTAAATATACACACACACACACTCTCTTCGTAACTCCTATAAGCTCCGAAATGTACATTAAAGTGGCCATATAATTTTGGCAAAGAAACTGTTCTGAAAGCCAAGTTAAAAAAGTTACGTTGAACCCCGGTATCAAAAGTCTATGTAGAGATATAAAACACAAATGCATCATCTAGCAAGGCTGTGTTCACTTTCATGATAGCGTAAGGGCCAAATAGTACAAACTCTTTTCACTGGACACATTAAACACTTGCAAGTTCAGGTCAGTCCTGCGCATCTACAGCATCAATGGCTGAAAATACCATTGTAATGTCATGCATCGCTCAAAGTTAGTGCAGCTGGATATATGGCCTTTTTCTGAAATACATGAACTTAAGAGTACTATTTTTTTACTGGGAAATACACTCAAAGTCACTTCCATAACATAAAGAAAAGATGAACTTAAAAGGGAGCAGACATCTGCGCAAGCTGTAGCTATATTTTAGATTAAGACATGCAAGGGCCATTTCTGTGTAATTAGATGAGAGTATTTATTTCACATGGGATACAACTGAAGTACTTTCCATCTGACTAGAGTTAAGTCTAGTTTTAGCCTGAGCTAAAAGTTCAGTTACTAGACTGTGAAGACCTCTTTCATTTAATAACATTTATAACATTGTCTTAGATAGCATTTCATACCAATTTGACTTATGAGTTGTCTGAACTGGTCAAGATAGCTCTGGCCATCTGGGGTTATTCCAAGTTTTCTGATGCCGCGGTTGAATTTATCTGCTCTTTCAAAGGGATACTAGAAAAATATTTCAGAATAATTTGTAAGAATAATTACCTACCCTTAAAAAAAAAAATTAAATGTTTTAATCATGTCAATACAATTCTATTTGCAATTTTTTTTTTTTTTTTATAAATTATACACCTGCCTGTCTATATTAAGTTTGCAAAAGTCTAAGTTACTTCTGCAAGCTGAAAAGTGAAACAGAAGTCTTACTGCGAACAAGAAAGCATTCCTAAAAGAAATAAGTACTTGACATACAAGAAGCTGGCAGCCTATTTTACTAAATACATTGTGTCTCACATTTTTGAGACATCAATTTTCCAGCATGGAAAATCAGACCCTAGACCCCAAATGACATTTGTCATTTGACATACTGGAATAAGTGCTACATATTCACATCATTTTGGATTCAATTTGAATAATCTTATTATTCAAAACTGACAACAACTGTTAAGCATGGTTTGGACCAGAAGTTTAGAACCTCCAATAGACCACGACTCCATCAAATCATAATTTTCAAGTCACTGAGAAAATGATGTTAGCCAACCCCATGTTTACAGAGCAGCCAGAACAAAACAAAGCCATCCTGAACACAGACATTTGTAATGCTGCAATTTGCTAGCACAAAAGCTGTCATTTTGTCTGGAGATACACAGTTAAATAATAGGAATGTTATGATTTGGTGCACCTTCAGTCACATGAAAGTAGCACTTCTTTTAGCCAAGTTACTCTCAATCCTTCAAAAATTACTATACCTTGTGATCATTTTGATCCTTGACTTCCCTGAAGAATCTAATGTCTTTGATAAGTCTGGATTTGATATGTTCATCATACATGAACTGGCTAAAAATATAAAACTTTTTCCTCAAAAATTGGTAAGTGAAGTTTACCTAGAAGAAAAAAAAAAAACAGTCAAATCAAGAAAGTTAGCAAAGTAACAAGTATACGTAGCAACCCATTTTCAGTAGATTCCAGAGTAAGTTGTATTTATGATGATGTTCCAAAAATGGAACCTTCTACTCAGTTTACTTCAATTTGTTATTCCCAACTTATTTTTTAATTTCACTGGTTTAAAAGAATAAAGAAAACCCTTCTCCTGGAAGGCCTACTCTCTTCCAGGAAGGGCAGAGGGACCAAGGGATAAGTTAGCTATTTCAGCTCGATGACCTGCCCTACACAGACATTAGTTTATGTCTGGAATATCTTGTAACTGTCCTTTTGAAGCAATACAAACATTTCAAGCTGAAAAGGGCAGACAAGCTCAACTTCCTCAGTTAAGTTGTGGAATCTGCATAGCCTCTTGACACACCTTTCTACTTCCTCAAAGTTTTCTAAAACACTCTCTCATAAGGCAGAAGCACACTTCTACCCTACACATCTCACTTACTTCTCATGTCTGCATAAACAACTTTACTCACAACCTGAAGTGAATAAATCTACATCACCAGGAAATAATGCAAGTAACAGCATTGTTTCTGAGTAACTGAAGTCCCCAAGATTGATTTTCTTCTTGTTACTGGAATAGTTATTCTCAGAAGAATAATACAAGAGAAGTTATTTCCAATAGTACAAGAAAGCATGAAAACCTTATTTTTCTAATAATTTCCACTTTTCAAGTAATGACTTGAGAGTGGGTTCAATATTTCAGCAAGTTCCTTTTTTTTTTTTTTTTTTGATAGGGCCAGAAGAATGGGGAAAAAAACAGCAAAGAGGTAGAAAGAAGTTGAACAGCAGCTTGGAAAGCACCAACCTGAAAATAGCTTTGGCACTGTATCCAAAG